CAATTTGCAATTGAAAATGATTTAAATATTCTAGCTGATTCTGGTAAATTATTAAATTGATTTATAATAAAATAATGTTGTTGTTGTATATATATTATTTAATTAATATTAATTAAAATTTTAATTTCAATATAGCATATCCTGGATCAATTTACATAACTCCATCCTGTTATTATAAATTTTTAGACGAGAAAACAATAAATGATAAAACCCAAGAACAAAAAAAAAAAATACAATCTTCATTTCAACAGAAACAGGCAGCTTTAAGAACACCTGTTGAAAGAGGTAATAGCTCAGTTAAAAGATTTGGAATTGCCAATACCAAATGTAAATTATTTCCCGAATTACATGCAATGTGTATAATGATCTGTTTTCAATTGTGTCAATTGGAAAAAAATTTTGAAAATTCAAAAAATAATAATAATATAAATAAAAAAAATATTAATCATTTAAAAAATAATAATAACATAAATAAAAAATTATTAATCTTTTAAAAAATAATAATATACATATATATAAAAAATAATAATATACATATATATATATAAATAAAATTTTAATCATTATAATATTATATAAATAAATATTCAAATTTATTTTATTTTTGACTCATATTTAACTTTTATTAATTAATATTAATAAAAAATGAGTAATTTATATACTAAAAAATTCATTCATTTTATTTGAAAGTAAACAAGAAAAGGTGAATGAACTTTTTAGTACTTTATGAGTAATTTATATACTAAAAAATTCATTCATTTTATTTGAAAGAAAACAAGAAAAAGTGAATGAATTTTTTAGTATGGGTGAGATAATTACCATATTAAAATGATTCATTTCTTCAATTTTGCAAGTAGCTCAATAGAATATATGAATGTGGATTATATTTTTATAAACAGTTAATTTTAAAAAATAAATTGATTTTTGTATTAATAGTTAACACGACTTTTATTAATTTAAAGCTCGAAATGGGTAGCAATAAATATTAACTGCTACCCATTTCGAGCTTTAAATATATTAAAATTTTTTTTTTTTTTAGTAATTTAATTTTGATTATTTGATTTTGGTAATTTAGTTTTGATTATTTGATTTTGGTAATTTAATTTTGATTTTTTGATTTTGGTAATTTATTTTTGTTACTTATATAGAAATATATATACCTATATATATAAATATATATATTATAAAATACAATTTATTAATTAATAATTAATTTTTTTTTGTAATTCACCGATAAATTTTTGTATCTTTCAAGATGTTTGGGGTATTATTCACTCTAAATATACCTAAATTACATAAATTATTGAGACAATTTATAAAAATATTTAGTTTTGAATTTTTAACCAATTATAATTTGTTTAATTGGTTAATTTGTAGTAAAGCTCGAAATGGTTATATGTTATTTATAATTTGTTTAAGTGGTTAATTTGTAGTAAAGCTCGAAATGGTTATAGGTTATTTATAATTTGTTTAAGTGGTTAATTTGTAATAAAGCTCGAAATGGTTATATGTTATTTATAATTTGTTTAAGTGGTTAATTTGTAAGAGTTTATGTTGAATTATTTTTTTTTATTATTTTTTTATTT